TGTTTTTTGGTCAAGATTAGAGAATGGGCCAATCATGATTTGCACGCACTTAAGCCAGATTTGACGTTTTTTAATGGTTTATTAGAGATGGCAGAGCCTCAATTTTCAAAAGCAAGATCTAGTGGTTGACCGAATAAGAAAAATGTCTCCACAAGTAAATACATTAATTTCATTCCACCCTTTTCAATAATTTATTTTACTGTCACTGGTTGACTTTTTTCACTTGACTAAAATGCCAAAGCCTCTTGCCAAAAAGAACAAGAAAAAAAAATAAAAAAAATTCATATATGTGAAAGCCACCTGACATTAAAAGGGTAGACCTCATTTCTAAGGATGGACTCAAAAGCTTTAGTGGCAACTATTTCATTTACAGCCTCTGTTGTGTGCAAGCCGTCGAAAAACACGTATTCGTCTCTGTTCGGACAAACCGAGCCTTCTCGTCTGCATAAAACTCCCGTCCCACCTTGACTTATCGGGATCACTTCACAGCAAGAGCTATTGGTATTACGAAAACCTGCAAGAATCGAACACATTTTAACTATAATACTAAGAAAAAAATGTCGATGTCTAACAAAGTTTGTACGAAAACTCGATTCTTGTCTAGATTTAATGCAATACGACAAAATAGCCACATTGCAAGTGATTCTAGTTTTAATACGATATATGTTTGGATAATCGACACATCTTAATTATCCGAGACTTAATAATAGGTAATGTAGCGAAAAATGAATTTACGCGTCATTTTTTTTTTTTCGTATTTCTATAGTTTCACACACACAATAGTGAAAATTCAAGCAGACGGTTTTAGTTTTACCTCTTAGACGAGGAAATCTTAGGATATCGCTAATAATTTTGTAGGCATTGACAAAAACGAGGTTAGAACCGGGGATTTGAGGCCTGATATCATCCACCAAGTCCCTCAACCGGTTGTTGAACAGCTCAGCTGCTCGGTTTAGACTTTCGACACAACTGCTATTTGCCGGGACTCGGGATATAGCCATTGGGCTGCAGCCGTTTGGATTGATTGCCAATAGGACAAATTTACGAGCACCCAAACTGTAAAGCCTCTGCATAGCATAAAAAAAATCGAGCAAAATCATCGTTAGATAAAAAAAATAAAATAAAAAAAATCTTGAGCCTTAACAAGCCAACGACTCGTTAAGTAAACATGCTCCAGCCTCGACGAGACGGTCAAATCCGAGCTCACGAGATGCTCGTTTCGTTTAATAGCTCTAACTCAAAGTAACCAAACTTAGGTATAAATAAAATAAAAAAAAATAAAAAAAAACATCATTACCTTGAGTTGGTTAGAGAGGTTGAAAGTTAGGTTAGCAGTAAAAGCTTCAACAGTGACATTACCAGCAAATCCCAGAAAGTAATTAAATGTATAGTCATTTGCTCCACTCCCCACCACAAATAGAAATTCAGACAGAATCTTTTCAGGGCTTTTCTCACTAATTTGCTGCTCCAAATCTGGCAGTGTCACTGTCTCAAAATTACTTATTTGCTGATTCAAGCTTGTCACATTGCCCTGCAAATTAAATTTTGGAACTTTGCAAAAATTAAAGAAAATTCAAATCACATGATGTATTGACATTGTAAGTTGTAATATTAATGATAGTAATTATATTGAATTTTTAGATGATCATTAAAGTTTTCTTATGCGACATTTTAGCTTACCAATACCTCAGAGTTGATATAGAATGATAAATCATTTAACCATTTTGTAGGTAATAATAAAGACTTTTGTCTTTCCTCACAGTATAAATCATGTGACTGAATCACATGAATCCTATCACCAAAAAAAAAAAAATATTGTGAAAGGAATTGAATAATATCAGGAACTTAATATATAGTATGCATAGAATGTTTTGATATGTAATAAGGTTAAAAATGACAGTTATCTAGCTGTAATATTTCCATTTCTAGAGGCCTAAATTATAGGCCCGGCCCGATTTATGTTTTCGGGCCGAGCCCGTAAAAATAAAAAAACATAGCAAGAAAGAGAGAAAAAAAACTTACTGCAACTAAACCAGTGCTGTCAAGAATCCCAGAGCCACCAGAGGCATAGTTAACACCATGCAATATTTTGCTTCCACTCGTCGATGGATTATAAAAAGCTGGGATATAGTTTGGTAGCCTCAGTTTTTCTCCCAACAAGTCGACAAAGTTTTTACCGTTGGTAAATCGGCCCGTAGGCCCGAGTGAAAATTCGAGTCCGTAAGGCAAATAATCGGCTCTGGCTCGCGTGTTCGTTAGGAAATTGTTGTTGCCGTTATCGACCACAGAGCTTCCGAAAACAAACAGTCCCTTAACATTAGGCTCATGAGTTGTGCTGATCAAACGAATGGATTGAGCAAACAATGCAAAGAGATTGAGACAAATGAGAAGCAGTTTTTGTAACATGATGTNTTCTTTTTTTAAAGTATGTGATTGTTTGGTCTCTCTGTTTTCTGTTTTTAGCTAAGGACAGAGTTGATTTGTGGCTTCTTTCTTGTGCTATTTATAGAAAGGGATTCAGAACTGTGTATTGGTAGTTTTTATGTTTGGCGGACTAATATTTATGTAGACAAACTATTTCAATAGTTATCTATGTATTTTTACATTGAAATGTAACACTTTAAATTATGATATAAATAAAAGTATTACATTTGATAGATTAAGTGTTTTTCTTATAAAAAAAAGTATGACTGACTAACGATTAAGTGTAGATATATATTTCAATAGTGTGGATATTTTGTATGGCATTAAATATTATGATCTTTGGATTGATGTATATCTTGCAATATTCAACTATTATGTGTTCCACATTTGAATGGGATGTTTGTAATAAATGTACAGAATTAGTCAACTAGTCTGTGTAAGGTATATTATATAGATGGGAATTAATTAAAAAGTTAGATATTGTTGAGAAGTGGGAAAAGAAAAATAAAAGAAAAAGAGGAAAATAAGGGGAGTTGATGAAAATTTTGAAGTAGTCCAACTGAGGTGCTTGGTTGAAGAGTAGTTATATTTAATTTCCTTGTTAAAATGAAAAAGACAAATAAAAAGTTAAAAGAAATACTTTTTGGATTTCACAAAAATATATTAATTCAGGGTAAATTAACAGAATTTAATTAAAAAATAATAATGTGTCAGCAAACCCAATACTATTCATTTTTCGAAATTCTATCTGTTCAATTATTAAAAAATAGTCTATCTGATGTAAATGTAATGCACCTTATATTGGGCAATCCTAGTTGACATTAAAATTATTGAAAGTGGTATCACTGGATTGACTTTTTTTTTGCTTCAGGATATAATTTCTGGATATAACAATCCGCAAAAATATCGTGACAGTTACATATATGATATCTTTAATCAAGCAAGCATTAATGAAATTGCAAAATTTACAAGTTAGAGCATCTCTAATAAGGGGTTTTGGCTCAGGTTTAAAAACTCAAACCTACAGGTTTACCACTAAAGATGCAAGGTTTAAGGTTTATATTTTTAAACCAGGTTTACAAACTCAAACCTATCATAAACCTCAATAAAAAAAACATTATAAAATAATTGAACGGTTAAATAATGGCGCGTTGCTTCCACATACATGTAAAATAATTGAAGTTGTTGTCCACGCCCCAAATGTGTTGTGAAGAGGGTGGCCCCACGTCTGCAGCTCAACTAAGATGACATTTGTTTGGGTTTTTTTTTTTTCTTTTTGTTCTTTTTAATCAATTTATTGGCACACCTACATTACTTGGACATTTATTTATATATTTTTATTTTATTGTTTCTTTAATAAAAATATTTTTAAAATATTTATTTTTAAACTATTTATTTTAAAAATATTTAATTATATATTTTTATTTTTTAATCAATTTATTTGTATGAAACATTTAGATTATCTAAAAAAAATAGAAGTTACAGTTTTAAAATATTAATTAAAAATATGTGTATAATATTAATTATAAAAATAAGTGAGAAACATGTGGGTCCTATAAAAAAGAGGTTTATGAGGTTTATTATTATTGGAGGTTTATATGTGTAAGAGTAAGAATGAGGTTTTGGATGACGTGACATCTTGGGAGTAGATAAAGGAGGTTTGTGAAGGTTTGCTGTTAAAGATGCTCTTACCTTATTCTTCTGACTCAATCTAATTGACAACTTGTGTATGTTAGCCGCAGGTGGGCAAGTTGATATAACAGAAATGCATGTACTGAATAATAAATTATAATCCTTGTATGATGTTGATTTCAACTGGAAATACTTCTTTTGGGATTTTTTTTGGGGGTCTTTTTATCCATTTTCCACCGTCGTACCAACCTTAACTAAAAAAAAGTCCCAGATTGTGCTAATCTAAAATAAAATAACACAAAACAAAATATTCCACCTTTTGAACTATAAATCATGATCTGTTAACTCATAACTAATTATTAATTATGAACTAACTTATAACTATGGGTTATTTCCAATGTTAATATCTATATCTTCAGCATTTGGCCAAATATATAAATTCCCTTTTGGAAGGGATGTCCAAAGGCTAGAGCAATGTATTAAATGCCATTAACAAACACTATTCAATACCTGAATGACTTATTGTTGTATAGTCTTTTCCAATAAATACCGCATTAGTTTAACCTGCCCGTTGTCTAATAAGGTGTATTTAAGTAATTTTACGTATATTCGAGCAGTTCATCAAGCATTCAAACTTACAACTACAAGCTCGAACCTAAAATGAGTTTGTATTCGAAGTGCTCTAACTCAAATTAAATTTGGTCAAACTCGTGCTTGAGTCAAGCGATATCTTGAACTCGCGAACCACTTTGTTTACAACACTAAGTTTAATGCAATTACAGTCCAAGTGTTTGCAATTGTATTATATATATATATATACACACACTAAATAGATAAAAAAAATTAAACTTAAAATTTTATTAATAGATAGAAATTTCAGGCAAAAATTTAATTTTAGTCCGCTAACTTGTTCATTGTCCACTTTTGGTACACTATCTTTCCCCTCATAAAAAATGGTCCATTATGTTACACTTTTCATCAGTTTTAATACACTAATCCCGTGGCCCGGGATTACGAGATGCCAAATCAGGTTTTTATCCTACCACGTCAATATCTTATCCCTCTACGTAGTTCCAATCCCAGTCCACATCATCTTGTAATACCGCCAACTGGAGTAGCGTACTAAAACTGATGAAAAATGTAACATAATGGACCATTTTTTATGAAGGGAAAGATAGTATACCAAAAGTGGACAATGTACAAACTAGCAGACCAAAATTGGATTTTGCCAAAATTTCACGCTCGACGATTTTAATCCATATTCTGTGTATGATGATGTGCTAGGTGATTACCATAATTCTATTGATTTAAATAGATCGTTTTTTTTTTTTAGTTAAAAATAGATTGAAATTTTGAAACAGTTAATGGACATATTATTAACTTCCAAATGGTTAAATGAACAATTCTATACAAGATAATGCACTTTATGTGTTATGATATTTCAGCATATATAGTACTCTCTCTTAAATAATAACCCTAATTAATGAGGATAGAGATGGATGTTTTGAGAAATGATAAAGAGTCAATATGAAAAGATGTAGTATATTTATTAGCTAGATGAGGATAATAATGGAAAAATCTATTAATATATACAAAGAGTCAATGATATTTTACTTGAAATAGCAATTAAAAATCAGCAAAAAATTCATTTGGTTTCCCGCCTAAAGTATTTACTATATTGAGTTATATTTTGGCCAAAATTTGAAAAATCCCGCTTAAATTAATGTACATAATCATTTTGGTCAAATATTGCAACTATTACCTTTATTAGTTGCATGATTTAAATTTAAATTATAATATATTGACAAAACTTGTACCTATTACCTTTATTAGTTGCATGGTTTAAATTTGGTATATAATAGATTTAAAAAAAATAAAAAAAAATTTATTTAAATTTAAAAATTAAATATAATTATTCATAACTTACAAGTCAATATTAACTTTGACGTAAACGAAATAGTCAATGATTTATAATTTAATAAATTACTTCACTACTGAATTTTTTTTATTTGATTAGTTTATACAATAATAAATTATTTTAAGTAATGAAACAATATAAATTTTATATTTATACTTATTATTCACATAGGTTGTTAAATATATGATAACATTTTACCAAAATAACTATTTTATGGATCACATATAGCCAAATCGATTTTCTGAATAAATGTTTTGAAATGATATGTATTTTGAAACGAATATAATGTAATTTATTATCAGTTACGTGCACCACACGAGTCGTATACTAATTCTCAATATTTATTTTTATGTAATTTCACACAATTTAAACTTTATATAACATTTTCAATAAATTAATATAGGTAAATTGTATTACATATTGATTCCATATTTTTAATTTATAAATATTATTTAATAAGAAATTTTAATTTATAAATATTAGTGAATATTTCTTACCCGTGCACTGCACGGGACTCATACTAGTATGTACAAAAGATTCAAAACGTCATTTATTTAGTTAATTGTTAATAAAACAAAAATGGCATTTAAAAAAATAGGAGGTAGTAATTTTTATTATAACGTATGTATGTTATGGCATCAACATTACTACTACTATTCTCCAAAGCAAAATGATTATGACAATTCCAACAATGATTTGTGATCATAAGTCAATAATTGATGGATGCTATTAGCTAATCACCACATTTGCAGGAAGCATATGATTGGGTGAAAAAGGCGAGATATATGAAAAACACACGCATGGTGAAATCCTCAACTGTGAAAAACAATTACAAATTTGGGGGCGCGTCTATGTACTCTCTATCTCGGAAAATAAAAAAAGAGAAAAAGTAGTAAATTACATAAAATACAGTTGAACAATATTCATTTTTTCGAGATTCAACGCTCCAACTAGAATGTCATCTACCCTAACTCCACTCATCACACTATAATTTCAGCATAGATAACAGTGCTCACCGGTTTCAGGTTTGTTTATCAGATCCCTTTTTCGAAAACTCGGTTTATCCCTTTTTTCGTTTTTGCTTCAATTGGGTTTGTTGGAAAAATTATGTACTGGGCTTGTTGATACGATCATTCACCGGCAATTGATTTATGGGTTCTGCCCATTTCCTGTTTCTTGATTGATTTGTTAGCTGGGCATGAATTTTGTTGATTGGGCTTGTCAATCATGAAACTTGGGAGTTATTTACCACTGCCCATTTTGTTTTGAGTTTTTGGAAAGATTCTTGTTTGTTTGTGTGGAGTCTCGTTTGGTAAGAGTTTGCGTTGATCTTTCTGCAAGTGGAATGAAAGATATATAGAATTTTAGCTGGGAATGTGAGTATTTGCAGTTTATGATTTGCATGTGATTCGTTTAGCTCAATTTGTGTGAGCTTTAAGTTACGGTTTAACGATGTGGGCATCTGTTGTTGGTTCTTCCAGCTAAAGATTCATATCGATATGATTATGTGAACATTGTTGCATTCCTTGTGTTTTGTTGGTGAAATGTTTCTAAAGGTTATGGGCTTTTAAATTCAGAGAATGCTCGATTTTTGGGAGTATCAATAATTCTTGAAGTAGAAAGTGATGCTCAGCTTCTTATCAGGAAAAATAAGCTTTTAATGTTATGGGATTTAGTTATTCCTTCTAATTGTGTTTGATTTTATATCAGAATCTGGTATATAGGTGCTCGAGAGTTGCAAATTTTTATTCTTATTATGGTTTGAATTTAATGAAATAAGCAGCTACACGGTTTATTTGCTGAAAACTCTTTCCAACTAATTAATTTTGGGTAATTCTGGTTCTCAATGAGCAGCTTTACTTTATGCTGCTCGGTATTTCAGCTCCTCTATCAATATGAACCATGGTAAATAATGTTTTCTGTATTTTCTTTGCATAAACTAATTGACCGCACTTTTTCTCATGATTGAGGCCAGGACGCTTGTGGCAACATTTTGGGAAGAAAAATAAAATGTATAATGCACACGTTTGTTTTGAATGTAAAGAAAGATCCCGATTTTCTTTTTTTTTTTTCTTTTTCTTTAATATCCCATTTCATCTGGTTATGGTTCTTTGCTTTCTGTGCGTATTTTTTTTCCAGTGCCATAAAAGGGACTGAATTTTAATAGTGCCCACGAGACAAAATGAGTCTGGCATGCCTTGTATGCCACGGCGTAGAAAGCCCATCTCACTCGTTTAGAAGCTACTCAGTTTCAAGCTCCGAAAATGAGGGCAGATGCTCGGCAATGGCTAGTTGCTTGACCCGAAAGACTTCACTTTCACACCACAGGGCCAATCACAGCATCACTTCATCTAAGGTGATGCCACAGCCCACCATTTCAGGTAATGGGGCCCCAAGGCTAGTCCGGAGCCATGCTGTAAGGAGGGATATCGTGAGGGATTGGAATTTTGACGAGGTTCATTTTGAACGTTAGTTGATAAACTCAGAGTCGAGTGATAGTTTTTCGAACAAAAGTTCCTGAGAATGGAGCCTGATGCTATCCATTTGTACTATTTTACCATTTTTTTTTTTGTGGTTGATGTTCGGTTGCAGTGGGTGTTTTTTTTTTCTTTTTTGAGCATTTTGTAAGATTGAGCAAGAAAGATGAAGAAATTCGAATCGATCTGTTTATAGCTTCGCTGTTCGTTTTGCTTGTCTGGAGCTCAAGTTTATAGCTTTAGTGATGTTTAATTTGCCTCCATCTTTGATATAGATTTGTGCTCTGCATTTGATCAATGCTCTCTTGAATTTGTCTCTCTCTCTCTACCTCTTTTTTTTTTTCGGAAACGGTAATGTGTTTGGTACTAAAAGGCTATGTTGTTGTTTGTTGTTGTTGGAAACTGTAATGTGAACTACCAACTTGATCAATTCTCATGTATTTAAATGTTGTCACAAAAACAAAAGGGATTATTTTTAGGGCTTATAAAGAAAAATATGAGGTGTAGTCAATTATAGAAGGTTTCCTACTTCAAAACTATAAAATTTCATGACATTACTTGGAAGTTGCAATTATTAGGTGCAATTAAGAAACTAAGAGAAAACTTTCATCAATTGCAAATCTAATATATGTGATTATTAGTCTATAAATACAGAAAATATTTTGGATTATTAGTCCATAAATAGAGAAAATATGTTGGATTAATATATGTATATGCATATCACAAATCACAACACACTCATTTACAGAGCAAAAAGGATCTAAATCCAACTCACTTCCCTCCTCACTACCACTCCAATGGCGGCACTCAAAACCCCGCCCCTCTTCTTCACCCTCTCTCTCCTCTGCCTTCTCTCTCTAACCTTCTTCTACCTCCACCCCTCCACCACCACGACCACCGCCATTTCTCCCTCAAATCCCCAAACTGCCCTCGACACTTCCGGTAATTCCATCAAAGTCCACATCTCGCCCTTGCCCAGATCCCTCAATTACGGCCTCCTCGAAAAATACTGGGCCCTCACCTCCGACAACAGGATCGGCAGCGAGGTGGACAACGAGATCAGAAAGACCCTTTTGCCCCAAACCTCCGGCGAATCCCTTCCGTACCCGGAAAACCCCATAATCAAACAGTACAGCGCTGAGTACTGGATCTTGGGGGACCTGTTGGCTCCACAAGAAACGAAAAGGGATTCTTTTGCGAAGAGGGTTTCTGATCCAGAGGAGGCCGACGTGGTATTCGTGCCGTTTTTCGCGACGTTGAGTGCTGAGCTGCAGCTGGTGATCAATAAGAGCGTGTTTAGGAAAAAGGTTGAGGAGAATGAGGATTACGTTAGGCAGAGAATGGTGGTCGATCTTGTCAAGAAGACGGAGGCTTGGAAGAGGTCCGGTGGCAGAGATCATGTCTTTGTTCTCACAGGTAATTTTGTTCACGGTTAGTTAAATAATGGCTCTTATTTAGCTTAGTTACAGATGGAGGTTTACAAATTGTTTTCTCAGGAAGGTATATGCTTGGCAAAGATATAACTGAAATGGGGGTCTTCTAAAAGCTGTAAAATGGTATTTGTCTTTTGTTGATAGATAAATGGGATTCTGTAATTAGGCTAAATCTTGAGGTTGGGTTTTTGTCACTTTTGGGTTTATTATCAATGTGGTGCTAGAATGATTGTAATGTTATTTAGGCCATGAATGGAAGTTGTGTAATCAGTAATGACTGATATGGAGACTATAATGTGTGTTTGGCTCTATTGTTAGTTTGTTACCAGGGGAGAGTAGTTATTAACTTATTATAGGATTTATTCGGTGTGATTAATTAATTTCAAGGACTTGTATGTATATGCAGATTATGATTGTGCATTAGTTACCTTTCTTACTCTATTGGATGTGTGTGTGTGTGTGTGTGTGCCTATGCATGGTGTTAGAATTGGATGGGAAAAAGATGATTTTGGTACTTTCCGATATACGTATTTGATTAGGTTTCAATCTCTAGGGGCAAGATTTGTTTCTCCCGAGAAAAGTAGCTTTTGGCCTTGCTGATTAAAAGGAAATTGCTTCTCACACTGTTTGGCAAGATTACATCTGGTTGCACTTAGGTGATATATCATATATGATTGTCTGAATATTCACGGTTGAATCATTTTGGAAATTCTACCTCATGGAAAACAATAATTAGTAGTGTATGCACGTGTGTTGCTTATATTAAGTCTCTGGATTTTGTCAGGGTATGTTAAAACTTGAAGCAAATTTTTGGCAGACCCTGTTGCGATGTGGCACGTAAAGGACGAGATTGCCCCTGCGATTCTTCTAGTGGTAGATTTTGGCGGCTGGTACAGACTCGACTCGAAAGCATCCAACGACAGCTCATCGAACTCGATGATACATCATACTCAAGTTTCGTTGTTGAAAGATGTCATAGTGCCATACACTCATTTACTCCCTAGGATGGATATCTCGAAAAACAGAAAACGCGACACCCTTCTTTATTTCAAAGGAGCCAAGCACAGACATCGGGTTAGTTTTCCACTTTCTTAGTTACTGAAAGCTTTCTTAAAAAAAAAAAATATATATATATATAAAATATCCTATTGGTACTTACTTTCTTCCTTTGTCATTGCCTTTCTTGTATGTGATTCTGATCTTTATCCTAATAAAAAAGAACTCCACTTGTCATTTCAACCTTTTTCAATACCATGTCTAATAGAAAAAAGGCATCTTCTTTCTTCAAATTACAGTTCATGTTTGAAAATTTGTTTTTCTCTTACAAAATTGCGCCTTTAAGCTGAGGTATTTGTTAGCACAGTACAAAACTTTGAATTAAAGGTTTGTTATAATCAGGTTAGACCTCAACTGTAGTTCCTGTAACTAACCATTTTAATTTTAATTATTTTCTTTTAGGGTGGATTAGTTCGAGAAAAATTGTGGGATTTACTAATAAACGAGCCCGGAGTCATTATAGAAGAAGGCTTCCCAAATGCCACCGGAAAAGAGCAGTCGATAAAGGGAATGAGAACATCCGAGTTTTGTTTACATCCAGCTGGCGATACACCTACCTCATGTAGACTTTTCGATGCCATCCAAAGCCTTTGCATACCAGTCATTGTTAGTGATAACATAGAGCTTCCCTTTGAAGGGATGTTGGATTATTCGGAATTTTCCGTTTTTGTGGCGGTTAGCGATGCTTTAAGGCCCAATTGGCTAGTGGGCCATCTCAAGAGCTATTCTGATGAACAGAAGGATAGATTTCGTGAGAATATGGCTAGGGTTCAGCCGGTTTTCCAGTATGATAACGGTTACACAGGTGGGGTGGGGCCCACGAGTCCTGATGGGGTAGTGAATCATATATGGAAAAAAGTTCATCAAAAGTTGCCGGTGATTGAGGAAGCTATCACGCGAGAAAGAAGAAAACCAATGGGAGTTTCTGTTCCAGCTCGCTGCTATTGTATTTGATTTTGCAGAATGTTTTACTTAAGTATGGTTTGTGTTACTTTTAATCAATATGAGTTGGTTCATTTTTTTATTTTTTTTTTGCATAGAAATATCCAGGCTAACATTGTTTTACACTGTTTAACGGATGTTGCTGTATTGGTGCATGATTATGTAGATCAAATGTCCAGACATAAATGCATATGTTCCTTTTTCCAAGTTTTTTAACACGACATAATTTGCAGACCAGTATTTAAGAAACAAATATCCCCCTTGAGAATGTAATTAATAAGCCAAATAAAGAAGGGTATTTGTAATATTTTGAACATGTTTCCATTTTTTTTTGGTAATTATGCAAATGTCGGTCGCGTTCTTTCTGCGTGTCCAGTATTGAAGAAGAAAACTCTAGAGCTGTTCGAAACGAGTTATTCGAGTTTGGTTCTGCTCGTTTATAACTCTAGTTACTCTTGTTATAAATGTTTTTTTTTTTCAAACAAACATGACAATTTTTTTTAACATTATTTTTCTTGAAGAAAATGGGCTGGCCCACTCATCTCCTTGCAGCAAAGGCCCAGCTGATACAGGTCAGCCCGTTTAGGCCAGCTCTTTAGCTGCCCTCATAAAGTCAAACCCGAACCCATTAGCTGTCCGTGTAAACTCAAACCCAAAACCCAAACCGGTGTGGAGCGGGTCGGGTTCTCCACTCAGTACAGTTCGACTAAAATGGGTAAAGATCGTCTCTTTTGAATCTACAAAGCATAGGATAGCGGGGGAAATAAGTAGAAAGATCCCAAATTGATCCCAACCCAAAAAAATTGAATTGAAGGAAAGCATTTTGGACAAAGTGCACACAAAAAGCGCGTTCATTTCTCACAGTCACAACACACACACCGCCATAACCGTTGTAGCTTAGCTGTGGAGTGACGAGGCTGTACATGTACACAGTGTAGGTATTTTATCCACTTATTTACACTCACTTCTATCCATGAAAAACTATGGCACCACTGTTGTTCGGATGGCTCAGATCTTTTTTACCCTTTCTTGATTCAGCTATATCCTTGAATGACGAAGATTGTCTGATCCATTTCTGTTCAAATTCTTTACCGAGCATTGTATTTCACGGGTCAGCTTAGATTATTTCTAGCAACAAGAAGAAGCAGAGCGGCACAGGGAAAGGCTAGTTCTTTATATAAAGGTACATGCTTTTGTCCAGATGTTCTTTCTATTTGTTCATCAGAAAATCTTGAATGAAAAGGTTCTGTATTGACTTAGTTTAAGCTTGCAACACTAATTGTCTTGGGTTTTAAGGGGAAAAAAAAGGAGTACACCATAAAAGGGAATCCTTCTAGTCAATGGCGGGCTATTTCTTGATTTTCTTGGGTGTTTGTTTAAGGGATTCAGATTTGATATGGGTAGACACTGAAATTGTGAAAGTTTAGGGTGGGTTGATAATCACTTGATCCATCCTTTTGAAGTCTTCTTGAATTCGAAAGAATATCAGGTGGATTCAACCACTTTCTCGTCTTCCATGGTTTTCTTATAGTAATCTTTTAGAAAGTTTCGATCTTGCAATCATATTGCAGGCAAATCTTCGTGCCATAGCATGTACTTGATAGATAGGTTTCCCATTGTGTGGAAATTTATTTCTGAAAGTCTTCATTTGGTTGAATTTTAATTCAAACTCTCCCTCAACCTTCCAGTTTTTGTAAAATGGGAAGAAGCCTAAGCCCAGTACTGCGCCAGGAGCTCGAAAATCTTGACAAGGACGCTAATAGCAGAAAATCAGCCATGAAAGCTTTGAAATCGTACGTGAAGGACTTGGATTCAAAGGCAATACCCATCTTTCTTGCCCATGTGTCTGAAACTAAGCAAACCGGTATATCATCCGGAGAGCACACGATTTCACTGTACGAGGTTCTTGCACGAGTTCACGGACCGAAAATCGTTCCTCAAATAGATAACATCATGAACACGATTGTGAAAACCTTATCCTCCAGTGCAGGAGCTTTTGCTCTTCATCAGGCTTGTTCAAAAGTGGTTCCAGCTATAGCGCGGTATGCAATTGAACCCACAACAGCAGAGGATAAGAAGAGACATATTATTCACTCTCTGTGTAAGCCCCTTTCAGATTCTCTTCTGTGTAGCCAAGAAAACCTCTCTTCCGGGGCTGCCCTTTGTTTACAGGCACTGGTCGAATCAGATAATTGGCGGTTTTCTTCGAATGAAATGATCAATGAGGTGTGTCAAAGAGTTGCAGGGGCTTTGGAGAAGCATTCGCTAACCAATTCTCATATGGCATTAGTGACAGCTTTGGCTAAACACAATTGCCTAATTGTTGAAGACTATGCTCGACTGTTGGTACAGTCCGGACTTCAGATTCTGAATGCTGGTTTTGCAGAGGCGAATTCTCAAAAACAGCTTTCAGCCATTCATATGGTGAGTTCACTAATGAGATATTTGGACCCGAAAATTCTGTTATCCGAACTGGATTTGGTAATTAAGGAAATGGAGAAGTGTCAGTCTGAGTCTGACCGAATGCCGTTTGTTACTGGGGCTGCTTTCGAAGCACTGCAAATTGCGAAGAAAATATGTGCTGGGAGAAAGAATAATGTTCGTAGTTCTGGGGACCAATCGCCTTTTTTTGCTGCATCACCCGAGTCGCAAACAGTTGATTCGTTTATGAGGAATGATTATTTTATCGAGTCGGCGAAGTCGACGAATCAGGGCCGTCGACTCGATTACGATTGTAAAAATGTGAACCGTAGACTTTGGCAAAGGTCTGGCAATGGAATCATGGACGTATCTCTTAAAGACGGCATGTTCTCAAATATGGCTAAAGGAAATGATAACACGAGCTCTGAGTGTGATGGCCTTTCTCAAAAGTACGGAGATTATGCTGATGATAACTTTTCGGGTTTTCTTCTGGGGAGTGCTGAAAATGGAGATGCTCGAAGCAGTACTCCGAGTCCACAGGTACGATTTGAACAACTCGTGTTGTTTGTGTTTTATTAGAATACATGTTTTTAAAGGAAGATGTGAAAAGTAGTACACAATTCGTATTGCATGACATTTTTTTAAGGTGGGGTTTCATCAAATCTGGTGGGTATCAAGTAAAATCTATGAAGACATTATTTATAATCCTAAAGTTCGAAATTTGGATAATATCTAACATGAATGGCTAGAATTATGACACTGTTAGCATATGATGCAAATAATATTCAGATTCCCATCAAAATGAACTTTGAATTTTCTTTTTGTCGTGTTTTTGGATGTCCAACAAGACGTGAGGATCAGCAGAGATGAATGCAGTCCTGTTTTCTTGAAATACACTCAAAAGTTTTGATTACTAATTATTCGAATTTCGTATTTAATAATGCATCCTCTGCCTGTATATTTCAGCGGTTAAACTCTCACATAAACGTTGATGACGTGAAGATCTTCACTACGCCAAGGAGGCTCATTCGCTCACTTCAGGATCTAGAAGATTCTGATTCAAGTTTCTCCAAAGGGCAAGACTTGAGGTTCAGGAGGACTCTTGCATCACTGCATGAACAAAATGGTCTTTTTCGGGACATGAACCGTGTGAATGGTGGAGACAGATTTTTTCCTGAAAATAAACTCCATAGCCGTTCAGAATCAGTTTCTTCTACAGAAAATGTGTCTGGAGATAAGAATCTAATATCAGCTACTGAATTAGTTCCAGAAAATAAAGCTCGATTGGAAAGAGTTCACGTTCGCATCTCAGCCCGCAAAATTGTTTATGGTCTTTTTGCTGTTCTATCGGCACTACTTTTGTGTTTGCTGGCAATAGGTGATCAAGATGATCGAGACATTCTTGTACCGACCTAGGTTTTTTTTCCATTCATATCATTTCCGATCTTTGCTGAGCTTTAGGAATATATACGAACAAATGTCTTGAGTTGGTGCAGCAGTTTGTAATCTGTTTTTTGGGTATTCGGATATTGTTTTCAGTCATTTTGCTACTTGTAGGAAATTATTTGTTCAACAATTTTCTTAAGAAGGAAAAGGAACAGAAGAATGAAATGTCTTTTTTCTTTAATATTTTTCGATATCTGATAATGCAAACTCCCACTGTGCAGCAGCTAAAAAAGATACCCAATCCCTCTCCTCTCATAAGGGAACAACACAATTAGCAAACTAACCACAAACCAAACCACTAACCGACCCAAATCGATAAACTCTCTCGACAAAACCACACGATAACAGCTAACCACATCTCTATCCAGCAATGCAAATGCAAGAAACGTAATCAACGAAAGCAATACACGAAACAAATCGCCCCATCTTAGTCTATAATCCGACGGCTCGTGTGGCTGCTGTCCGCCGAACGTCCTAATCCCATGGACTGTCGCTACACCATAGCACAATCTCCCATTTGTTGTCCTGAAGCTGTCTGTGATCGGAAAAATTACGGCTAAGGCAGCTAAAATGGCCGTGAAGCTGCTCGTTAGCCACTGGTCAAAAGCCGTGCACCTGCCATTTTTCGTCAGAAAAGGAGTGAAAACGGTGAAGAAAATGATTGTGGGTGCCAGCTGGAGGGCATTGAGACGAGCTGGCCAGCTCAAGATTGTGTTCGCGATGCTCGTGCATTTTGAGTTGTTATTATCATGGTCTTGATTGTGAGGTTCGAAATAGTCGCAATCGATGAAATCGTCTTGATCGCAAGATATGTAGTGTTCGTTCTCGATTTCTGTGTTTTCTTGCAGATGTTGGAGAATTCTTTGCATTGTTAACTTGTATAATAATGTGAAGATTTTGATTTGTGGGGAAATGGTTTGTTTGTTGAGGGCTTAGTTAGCAGTTTGTGTTTATAAATGTGCATGTTGAATGAGATTCTTTGCAACATTTGCTAGGAAAAGAATGACTTTCCAAGTTAAGGGTTCTTTTCTTCAGTTTTCCTGCAAGAAAAGGTATCATTTTGGAAACTCAAAGTTAATTTTTTATCTGTAAGTTTTAGTTAATAATACCAACAGAATAGAGGTGAGCAAAGGCGCGATTGAGTGCAAAACCGCACAAAACTACAAAAATAAAAAAACTGAGATTTTAAAATTTTCAAACCGAACTGTACCGAATAACTTCCTGCACTAAAAATAATCGAAACGAACAGAAGCTGTACTGACAGAAAAATTGTGGTTACCGAACCAAAACCGAAATAATAATAATAAGAAGAAGAAGAAGAAGAAGAAAACTGCACTAAAATTACCGAATTGCACAATTCGATTCGATTTTGCTCGCCCATACAACAAAACATTTTTCTTGACATGTATAATATAAGTACTTCAGTAGACTTTTCATGCAAATCACATCTTATTCTCAGAGTTTTATACTCAATCCAAACTTCAAACACACACTGACACACAGTACACACTTGATGACTTGAATAAGGAATCTTGACTACAAAATCAACATGAAGCCCGTGCAACTATTTGTACTTTTGATATAGATCACGTTAATCTTTCTGACCATAGAAAATAGCTTCAAAACTTGATGGATTGATTTTTTATTTTCTTTTCTTTATTTTTCTTTTAATAATTGTGACCATTTTTTTTTTTTTTGGTTCATTCTTTATCAAAGAACACATTTTAACCCTCTTCAACAAATTCACACAAACTCCTACTCTCACATTCTGGTTTATATGATGGCTGACAATCGACATAGCCAACCAATTAACCGACATAATCCATAGGATTTCGCAAAAGCCAGTATCGGGAAGGTACGTACTTACATATGGCTACTTTCGTCCCGTCTGGTGATCATATACGGTTCAAGGCTTAATCGTAACATGAGTCTGAAAACTGAAAATCTCATTTGAATCGACAGTTTTGCACCAAAACTGAAAATTTAAACTTCCACAAAAGGAAATTGCCAAAAAGATATGATTTTGGCAGAGATTTAAGGTTAGTCCTAAATGATTCTCTCTGTGTTTTGTTAAAACAATATCACGACTCCGTCTGCCTAACGGTTAGACCACCCCATACAAATTTGTGATCAAACAGACCATAGCCTGCCATGTGTGAGCAAATTATATATTTTCCATTGCAAATATCAAAAGTTACAAGAGCTCTGCACAAGAGTGCCACTTTATACATTCTTCCCAAATAAATAAATTTAAAACAAATATGTGTATCCTAGTTTTTATATATTCTATAACCTGTAGAAGGTTGCAAAATACCCTCACAACTTTGCTTTTAAAAAAAAAAATAATAGCAGGATTAGAGGGGACATACATACCATATTCAATCAACTATACACACACTACATAAATATCCAATTATGCAAAATAACTTCAGATTTGTGACGCCACGAACCCGTTTTGTTCGCCATTATTATATGGAGATTTGAACGAGCCACCTTCATTTTTCACTCGGCTAGTAGCACGAGTAATAGTAGTAGTAGTAGTATCCTCATCTGGATTGGCTCGTTTAACGCATTTTGCATTAAACGAGCTATTTCCTTCAGTGGGACCGCAAAGCTTACAAGGGTTGGAGGATCTTCTAGAACACCAATGATCGGGTACACTCAAGAAATGGGTGTCGATGAATTTTCTGAACCGTTTTTTGTATTCTTTTGGGGAGATTATGGTCGGCAACTGGTTTTTAGGCACGACAAGTGACGATTTGACCCAGTTCTCGAGTTGTTTGTCCCATGTATACTGCCTGAGATAATCGATGATGCCACACACCAGTTCTCGATTTTTGGTGTCGACTCCAACGAGAAGGGAGTAATCCATGACATTGATCG